TCCCGTGAACTAATCACAGATGTCGAAATTTAACCGTCGCTAAACACTGAGTTCAAATTTTAACCGTTCAACAAAAAATACTTAAATATTCACTCTACTTATTTTCCAAGATAATGGTTCCCGACACGAATCCATATTTTCTACTCCGTTCATTCTCAAGTTTCCAACTCATCGATATATTTAACCAATCAAATTAATCTCACATATTAATGAATCAAACAACTATTAAAATTACAAAAAGATATACATAATCTTATCAAAAGATTTAAATGAAATACACGGCGATTTAATGGAATTTAATTCTTCGCATGGTCATACTTTATAATAAATTCGACATATAATCCATTCAATACACTTTAAGTATAGTAGTGTCGCCTTTAACTATTTATATGATAAAGACAAATCACAAATGTGAATAGTGAATTGATCAATACTACAACCTTTCAGTATAAGGTGCCAACCCTATACATTGATTATGAACAAATTATTTATAATCAAAATATAAGTTGTATCATACTGTACTTCTCAACGCAAGTACCCAACTTATATTATCTCAAGTGATCATCGGCACTTTAATTTGCATATTCAATAACAAATAATGTAATAAATAAATAAAATCACAATTTTTTTTATTATAGATAATTATTTTATCATAACAAAATATACTATATGAACACACAACTCAACAAAAACTGTATTTTAAGTGTATTATACAAAATAGATTTTGCCTTGGATATTCTTTGATTCCTTTTCTCTGTTGTTTAAATGTTAAATATTCAAGCATTATAATTCTTTCGATTGATGAAATAATAATGAATGCAAAGTAGCTTTTCTCCCCGTTCGAAGTTCTTCCATTTTGTCAATTCAACACCTATGGATTGGAAAGTTTACAAGAAACTGCTGCAAAAGTAACAATAATTTAGATGGGTAGAAACATCGCAAGGCGTGTTGACGAGTTCATTTAGCGAGTCAACTCGTGTGAATAGATCGAAAAATCTAACTGGACTCCTACTTACCATCATATTGGAGGGGGGAAATCCCCGTTTGCACGCCAAAAATTGGGTTGGCAGACTTGATTAGCTCATAGAGCCCCTGTTGGTATACATGAAAATTAAATTTTTGTAAATTTGTATAAAAGTTGATGGAATGTGCGGTTTAAAGTTGCTTGTCCCGTGAAATGTGCGACTAAAATGAATTGTTAACTTTTGATTTAAATTTTAATATACTCTTTGAGCGAAGAAAATGAATTTATAATTCAGTCTAACTAGCAGGTTAATGTCATGAACCGTACAAATAACGGCATTGAACCGATTCAACAACTAAGAGGCATTGGACATTTTGACAAGCTCAATTAATCAAAATTAGCAGTAATCTTTCAGTTTCTTAACCCAATTAGTGATTGTAATACTAATACATGCTAACGTGTGACGGACGTATTTTTTACGCATCTTAGATTCAACGTCAAGTCTCCAACTTTGAGAAATTACATAGCCAGGACACTAATGCAATTTTCCAAAATCGAAAGCCAATTACAGGTAGCATTTTTTTTCCACCAGGGCGCACTAGTTACGTAAGAAAGTTGCTACTTTCGTTAGTTTTCAACGACGAAATTTAGAGTGGTGATTACGGGACGAGAATTAAAATTTTAATTAATTTCGTGATAAAATTTAATTAAGTGACTAAAAAATGGCACACACATAAGCAGAGACGGATTTAGGGAGTAGGCTGGGCTGTAGCCCCCCCCCCCCCCCCCCCCCCCCCCCCCCCCCCCCTCCCCCACACTCAAGCCCAAGAGCTTCTTTTTAAGGTATTTTATATTTTTTTTAAATAAAAAATCAGTTTTTTATGTGTAAATTTTTTTTCCCACGTAATAACCTGATTTGAAATTTTGTAGCCAAATCTTGGATCCAATTCTGAATCCGTCCTTGCACATAAGTTCGGAGCCTAACTAGATTTTTAGCAAATAAATGATTTTGGATAGCAAAATCAATTGCTAATGTACCACATGCATTTTAAGGGTAAATTATAATTGCCATTGTACTTTTTTCAATAATATTCAATCTAAAAATTTTCTGAATCGTTGCAATACTTTCAAAGTTATTCAGCAGCAGTCATTACATTTTTAAAATTGGATCATATGAAAGTAAAATGAGATACTGAAAAATACGTTAAAATTTCAATTTCCATTTGAAAAGGTATTAAAATTCACTAACGGTGCCTTAAAATAAAATTAAGTGATGGCATTTGATATTTTCAATAAATAAATGTAGGGAAGAACAAGAGTTACTAGAATCGTTGGACCGAATTAGAATTGGACCAAAAGAGATTGATTTGGTCCGATTCTCATCAACCAATTTTGATTTTGTTCTCGACTTTAATACTAAGAACCAAAAAAATTTGATTTAACCCCAAATTTTATATCTTATTTTAAATAATGGCTTGTGCTGTGGACCAACTTTTTAAAAATTTCAACATAGTATATCAAGTCATATTCAATTTATTATTTTATTATTTATAAATGCAAACGAATGGATCCCTTAAATTTCATATATATAATTTTGGATTTTCCAAGTTGGCATTTTTTTACTCCTAAAAGTATAAATAAAATGAAAGTGAAATTTGTAATATGTTTTTTGGGAACTAATTCAAACTAGTTATCTAGTTGATGCAAATTATTGCGTTTAGTAAACATTGAAAAAATTCAAATTATCAACTCCAACTTGGAATTTTTATAGTTAGACACTGATATATGTGAATTCGAGAACTTGAATGAAAGGAACCGAATTGGATTGAACTGGAACCAAACGGTTCAATTCCAATTATGTCATACACTTAGTGATGGAACCAACTGTTTCATTTTTAAAATACTATTGATATTTGATTTAGTTCGATTTTTTAATTTTTTTTTTTTGGAAATTGGATCAAATATGACTGTGCGCAATAAATGTGTGTAAATGATAATAATAATAATAAAAGATGGACACAAATGTAAAAAATTTTAGGTTTCTTAATTTTCAACAGCAACGTTGAGCCAAGGGGGGTAGGTAGAGTTAATAATGCCAACTCTAATTGTTCACACTGACACATATACAATGCCAACTCATCCATTCATTACTTTTGTGAAAAAAAGAAATGGATTTTGCTGGTCGTGCTGAAGTTAGATCCAGATCAAATCAAGGACCCAGCTCGCACTACCTCGGCCTTGGATCTGATCCCTATCCTCCTCCCCTATTTTTTGCAGCAGAACCAAAAAAAAAGAAAAGAAATATATATATGTGCTTGATAACGCTTGACCCATTGGTATTTTTTGGATGCTAATTTAAAAAGTCTCTCTAAAATAGGACTTGAATTTTGAATTTTGAATTTATTTTTTCTTTAGATATTACACGATCCACATCAAATATTGACACCCTATCCCTAATAAGAGTATGATGATTCTTACTTAATTTGATAACGATAGTTTCCAACTTGATCGAACTCGAAGATACTCTTTTAAGAATTACTTCAATTTTAACTTTCATATTATAGCACGTTCTCAAACTTATTTGAGAACTCATAGGCAAAAGAATTATGCATGCAAGTCTCACCAAAATAGAATAAAATAATGGAATGAGGTTTGAACGATCTTTCTCGTCCCCTGTCTTCAGTCCTTCATGGTCCCGAATCCCAACCCCAAGCATGGACAACGCCGTATTACCATCCTAATAAATCTTTTTTTTCAAAAAATGTATATTTTAGATTCACAATTGGAAATTTCTTTAGCTTAACCGAAGCCGGCCGTCAACAATTATCATTTTTTATTTTTAATATAGAGTATTTATACACCCTCGTGGGTTTGTGGGCTGCCCTTTATGACCAAGAATGCAATACTTTGTCATATGAAAAGTTTGAAACTTAGGTATGAACACAGAAAATGATGGATCTTTGGACAGATATTTTCAAAGCATGAACACTTGGCCTTCCTGGCTGCTTCCTTTTGAACTTCTCTCTCTTTCCATATTTTGGACTTTTATTTCTTAGGTTAAATAAATATATATTTGGTCCTTAAAGTTTATTTTGCTTTCAATTAGTCATTAAAGTTTATTAATGGTTCACTCTGTGAGTAAGGTTAATGTCTATTTCTATATGTACTAATTATAAGTTGGTTCCATTGTCCTGCAAGATTTATTCATTTTGAAAATTGGATGGCAAATGCCAACCCCATTTTGGTTTTGTTCAGATATTGAGTAACGTTTAGTCCTATTTTGCAGATTAAATTTTGTATAAAGTAATTTTATTTTTTTTAACAAAATGTATGGTTAAAAAAAATGAGTTTACATGTAAAAATATTTTATTTGAAAAAAGTGTATGATTTAAAATGAATTTGAAAAAAGATGAATTTTGAAAAATGTGATAAAAAAATGGGATAATTCAGATTTGATTAAAGCGCAAAATATGTTACGTCTCTTCTTACTCCTATTTTAGTACAATTTAGAGCCTGTTTGGGAGTGATTTTGAGAATTGATTTTTTGACCGCTAAGAAAAAAGTGGGGTCCACCTGTAGAGAAGAAGTCAAATATAATGGCTGAAATAGTGAAATAATGATCAAAAAATTAATCAAAAAATTAACTTTTTTGATGAAAAAATCACTCCTAAACAGGGCCTTAAGCTTGCACAGCCATGAAAATAAGACAATTATTATATGAAATTCGATTTGCTTTTATCAATTACAAAATACGAAAGGACCTACTTCCGTTAATATTCAAATTAAACATGGAATTTGATGATAATCTCACCAAGGAGTGGCCAGATTCAAACAATTAGAAAAACTTAAATGACCAACTTTAAATTTTTCTGCAACTCGAGGGATGAAATATATATGTAAACACTTACAAAGATTCCACACAAAAGAACAAGTCAACCTTCACCAAGTCTTTACCGACAACTTTCCTATCCCCCTACTTTTCTTTCCCCGTTCCCCATTAGATATCTATAAAACTCGTATCTATTCTTTCTTTCATTCATTCATACTAATTCACAAGGAAGGGAAAATAAAAAGAAACATAAGTATAATAGAAATCAATCTTTTGGAGTTCTTGATCTTCAAAAAAATGGACAAGTTTGTTAAAACTGTCCTCTTTTCATGTTTATTGATCTCTCTCTTTGCTTCTTCATCTTACGCTCAGAATTGCTCTGAGTACAGATTTTCCAACAACAACTTGTACACAACATGCAATAGTCTTCCTGTCCTGAACTCATCTCTACACTGGAGCTACCACCAATCTAACCACTCAGTCGATATCGCCTATCGACATACCGGAGTCACCTCGTCCGACTGGGTCGCCTGGTCACTCAATCTGGGCTCGGGACGAATGTTAGGCGCGCAGGCTTTGGTCGCTTTTCGGAACTCCAGTGGTATTGTTCGTGCATATACCGCACCGGTTGAGGACTACAACACGCAGTTGCGAGAAGGGCGATTGAGTTTTAATGTTTCTAATATATCTGCTGAATTCAACAACAATCAGATGGTGATATATGCTACTATTGAACTTCCTAGGGGAAGAACAAATTTTACTCAGGTTTGGCAAAATGGACGGGTTTCTGGGGACACCCCTGCGATACATGCCACAACTGGAGATAATATTAGGTCTTTTGGAACTATTGATTTTGTTTCTGGATTGACTTCGGATACTGGCAGGGACGGTGGTGGTGACGGTGGCAGGGACGGTGGAGGTTCGCCACAGGTGAGTGGAGTAAAATCTTGATATCTCACCACTAGATAGTTAACTAGCTGTGTGTTTGAAATTTTTTACAAAATCTAAATTTTCTTAACGGGTGATTAGAGATTGAACTAAATTTAAAAAAAAGGTTTTTATTAAATTTAAATATTGAACTTATAAAATGTAAAGCATTATTTTTCGTTTCATGTTTATTGATCTCTCTCTTTGCTTCTTCATCTTGCGCTCAGAGTTGCTCTGAGTACAGATTTTCCAACAACTTGTACAGCTCATGCAATAATCTTCCAGTCCTGAACTCATTCCTACACTGGAGCTACCACCAATCTAACCACTCAATCGATATCGCCTATCGACATACCGGAATCACCTCGTCCGCCTGGGTCGCCTGGTCACTCAATCTGGGCTCGGGACGAATGTTAGGCGCGCAGTCTTTGGTTGCTTTTCGGAACTCCAGCGGTCTTGTTCGTGCATATACCGCACCGGTTGAGGACTACAACACGCAGTTGCGAGAAGGGCCATTGAGTTTTAATGTTCCTAGAATTTCTGCTGAATTCACCAACAATCAGATGGTGATATATGCTAGTATTGAGCTTCCTAGAGGAAGAACAAGTTTTACTCAGGTTTGGCAAAATGGACCGGTTTCTGGTGACGCCCCTCGGATCCATGCTACAACTGGAGATAACGTTAGGTCTTCTGGAACAATTGATTTTGTTTCTGGAATGACGTCGGATACTGGCGGGGCCGGTGGAGGTTCGCAACAACGAAAGAGAAATGTGAGTAGAGTAAAATCTTGATATCTCACCACTAGATAGTTGGCGGTGTGTTTGAAATTTTATACAAAATTTAAATTTTCTTAACAGGTGATTAGAGATTGAACTAAAATTAAAAACAATTTTTTATTAAATTTAAATATTGAATTTATAAAAATTAAAGCATTATTTTTCGTATCGTGTTACAAATTATTGAGGAACTCTGTTCTTTATATACTACTCTGATTATAGGAGTCGTCAAAACAACAAAAAGAATATGATATGTTGATATAAAACCCATCATGGTACTATAATAGATGAATTTTATGTCATGTTTTGCCTGTTGATTCGTGATTTAATGTGTGGTTTAATGGATATTTTAGGTTCACGGTGTGTTAAATGTTGTGAGTTGGGGTATTTTGATGCCAGTGGGTGCTATGGCAGCAAGGTATTTGAAGGTGTTCAAAGCAGCCAATCCAGCCTGGTTTTACTTACACATTGCTTGTCAAGTTTCTGGCTACGCAGTCGGTGTGGCCGGCTGGGGCACTGGCCTCAAACTCGGAAGTGATTCTCCTGGAATCCGACACGACACTCACAGGAACATTGGCATTACAATGTTTGCCCTCGCAACACTTCAGGTTTTCGCCTTGCTCTTGAGGCCAAAGCCAGACCATAAATTCAGATTCTACTGGAACATCTACCATTACGCCGTTGGATACACCGTGATAATATTGAGCATAGTAAACATCTTCGAGGGATTCGACATATTGGATCCCGAGAAGAAATGGAAAAGGGCATACATTGGTGTGCTTATATTCCTTGGAGCCACTTCAGCTCTTTTGGAAGCCTTCACGTGGTATGTTGTGCTCAAGAGGAAACGGGAAAACGATGCGGATAAGTTTGCGCACGCCGGTAACGGAACGAATGGATACAGTGGCAGATCCCCGCGGGCAGTGTAGACACTTGCAGAGGAATTTTGGGATTTTAATTTTATTTGTTGAGGCAGATATATTATTTTTCTTATGATTCTTTTCTAGTTTAATTTAGTTACCTGTACAATAATGAGATTATGTATTGTATTGCTATTTGAGACATTGATGTGTAAAATTTTCTTGTTTGTATGTTAATATTACACCCTCATTATTGTACTTGTTTGTTACATATGAATACTATTCACGTTTTTCATAAGGAGTTTCTTCTACCTTTAAAGTAGGGCTCAAGTATTAAGCACGTTAGTCAGCTACCTAGGGTCCCCAATTTATAAAATGGACATATTTTTGCATTTATTTCTTCTTATGATTAAAAATAATTTGAGCTTACAAAGATCTCTTAGTTGGAAAAAGTAAAAACATAAATAATATAACATATTTAATTTACTAAAGAAAATCGATGAATAATTTAAAATTCAATATTAATCGAAAATTCTGTTGGTACAAAATAAAAGTTGAAATGAGTTACTAGGAGTCGGTGATATCATAAATAAATTATAAAAGGATAATCTAACTTATAAATCAATATCTTTATAAAAATAAATAATATAAATAACTAAAATTTTGATTGACATGATGGCCTTCTTCAGTGACTTTGTCAGTAATCGCTAACGAATATGTGACCCTAAAAGCCCTTTTAAGTTTTAGTGGAAAAGAAGTTTTTTTTTTTTTTTTTTTTCCCCTATGTATCAACCCAGTAAAAAAATTTTTATAACCTCTCCTAGCTGTGCCCCTACGTGTTGGTAATCACCAAATATATTTATTGTCGATAATTTCATTTGAATCACAACTTTGATTTCAATTATAACTATCAACAATCAGACCGTCGACGATTATCGATGACAACTTCACGATTATCGATAATCACATCAGTGATGATATTGTCGTTGATAATCACTAACAAGAAAGGAAAAAGAAAAAGAAAGAATAAGAGAGAGCTACATAAATTCACATTGTTTGTTATGCTTGTATCTACTCAAAGATATCTTTGAAATGTCATTCCAACACGCTACTCTGTTATAAATTAGGTGTCATGAAAGTATGATTTGATTAAATATGCATACAGACAATGTTTTAAAATTGGATTGACCCAGTCAGTTTGAACGGAATTTGGACCAAAATCAACTAGGATAGGCGTATAAAATATCTAATTAAAAATCCACCCCAAAGCCTGTTAAATTGATCGATTTTGAAAAACCCGTGACCAGTTCCCAATTTAATTCTTGACCTTTTTTCTTTTCCGAATCGATTATCAGGTCGATTTTTAAAACATTGATACAAATACTTGTACATATTGATTACAAGAACTCATCTATATATCTTTCATTTCTTTCATATACATATTTTTTATTCATCAATCACTAAATGACTTTAAATTTGCACAATTTCTTGATTTGTGCGAGTAATTTTTGTTCGCATCTAATGATAAAATTAAAACGATACAAAGACTATTTGTACACGTAGAAGCAACATAACAAAATTTCAGCGAAGAAGAAATAAAATAAATGGGAGGAAATCATTCAATGGTAAGCTGAACTCATCTATGTTCATATTTGATTCAAATCAAATAGAAGTATATACAAACATATAGACAAGTCTTTTTTCTTTAATCGTGTAGTTGTCACTCAAGTCTCCAAATTTCTTTAAATTATTGTATATTTCCAACTGCTCCATCTATATGTGTCTCAATTTTCTCGATCCATCACAATTAATTTTTCTAAAGTCTTCTCATCTAAGTCAATTTTGATTTATTCGTTTCATCTTTGAAATTTAGAATTCACTAAAATTCAAATGATATGTTCTAGAACATAAAATGTATTTTATGTCGGTCAAAGTAAAACGTGTTTACGTGTCCAATGTTTGAATAATTTCAAAAGGGAAAACGTGTGCTAAATTGTCGCAAATAAAATTAAGCTCCTGTTGACATGTGCATGACGTGGTTACACTTTTAGTACTATTGATAACTTCAGGATGACGTTGTTAAATCGACATATTTTTGTGCAAAACTTTCTTAGAGTCTATTTTTTTCATTAAAATATCATAAAATGACTAATTTACCTCCTCTTTAAATATAAAAAAAAGGGAACTATATATATAAAGAATAGTTGCATTTAGATTTCCAATTTTTTTAAAAAGAATAATCGCATTACTTAAACACAATTTAAAATATACAAACAAGTAACAAATAGAATATTATATCTTTTTAATACCTCACTTGTCCCTGCCCTTATCCTCTACCCTCCACCACTCCCACCAGAATAAGTAAAAAGAGAATTATAAGTATAAAAAAAAAATTAAGAAAATAATTTTAATCAAATTAAAAATTAAAATGGTTCTTCTTCCCCATCCAGTTTCGCACCCTGCCATCAGCCACCACCACCTATTCTCCCTATCCCACTGTCGCACCATCCAAAAATTTAGATATTTTTCGATTATCAAGTTTCGTGTTCTAATATCATTTTATTTTTAGCAAAGTTATAAGAGTTTTTATGAAAATTTAGCTATTTTCAGCTAATGCTTGTTTCTATCTTCTTGCTATTGATTACATACGTACATACAAAAATAAATATATACACATCCATAGGCTGCATCTCCTTTTGAATTTTGCTTTGATTTTATTCAAATTTCTTTTACCTCACATAATAATGTTTGTAGATGGAATTTCTTCTTCCACTAGAAGTTTCATCCAAGATCTTAATTCAACCCCGAATCCCAATTGTTCTAATTCAAACCCAGCTAAGTGGAAAATAAATCTTTTTCTTTTTGGAAGATTTTTTTTTTTTTTTTTTTTTTATTTTTTTTTAAAATTTTTTTTTTTTTGGAAGATTTTTTTTTTTTTTTTTTGCTAATATGTTTTAAAATATTTTTTGTAGGACTCATTTGCAGTATTTGAAAATTTTAGGAATTTGACTACAATTATTTTTTCTTTATATTATTTCTTTCCTTTTCATAATTATTTAAAGATGAGAGTAAATTAGTCATTATTTATTTATATTATTTCTTTATTTTAATGCTAAATTTAAACCAATATGGATGTTTTGCATAATGAAAGCAAACGTTTTGCACCAATTACACATATTTGATTTTTTTTGTTTGATTCAACAATATACCAAGAAGTTGGACACGTATTTGAGAAAATTCAATTTTTATTTTATTAAATCTTATTTTTTGAAGAAGACACGAATGTTTTTATTTATACAATGCAACATATCCTATTCTATAAGTGTTTCGCGCGGGTTAGTCGCTAACAATTAAAAGGGGTGTTCTTTTATTGGCGATGACTTTACAATTGGAAATTAAAAACAGAATGCCTCCAAGGGGCGCAAGCACACGAGTTACTGAAAAAAGTATTTAAGTCTAAACTAAGGAAATTAAAATTACATGTTCTCTGTTAGAGAGTTTTTGATTCGGTCCTTTACTCTATGTCTTTTCTCCCTTTTATACTCCATGGATGATCTCTTTGTGATCAATCGCCTAAAAACTGTTTGATCATTCTACAACTGCCCACTTTCCTCTTAATGATCAACTTGTCATGAAACTGCCTTTTTTTAACTGCTGCCATTACTCTTCGTCGTTCAACCGTTTTCGATTGAATTTCTTGAATCGTGGAACGTGATAGGGCTGCTTTAATAACTGCTTTGATAACTGCACTTCTTAATAACCACAACACTTTATGTTTGTTAAGACCTTGGACGACTTGAAGGTTTGGACGAGAATAGAGTAACAGCTCTGGGCGACTGCATGACACTCCATTCGCTCAGATTCTTGGCGACGTGCAAACTTGGGTGATGGCGTTACCGCGTTCTTGAGCCTCCCTATTTGGGCCTTCATCTTGAATTGTTTGATTGTGTTTTGTTTTTTGGGCTATCTGATTTGGGGATCTTCCAATTGGGTTTCATTCCTTGGGCCGTTCGATTTGGGCTGAATTTTTATGTGTTAACAATAAAAAAATTTTAAAATACCATAATAAAATTCAAAACCTAATATATTAATTTAAAGACTTCCTTAAACAAAAGCCTAACCAAAGGAAAAAATAATAATAAATCTAAACTACTAGACACAAAGTTTTGGAATGTATCTCCGAAGTTTGGACCCACTTTGATCCATTAACTTTTGAAATGATTGATAATCACATGCTTGAAAAATACTTCATTCCATTTGCCAAACAAGCTTTTTTTAAGTATTGTGAAGCAGTCCTTCATTTCTTTTTATTTTCCATCTCAGACCTACAATTTCTGGTGCATACTAAACTACCCCTGAATTTTCATTACCTTTAAATAGGTCCATGATATTTTCTGCTTTATGCAAATAGTTCCCTACAGTTTTGAATTTTTGCACATTGTTCACATCAAATTAGTCTCCAAAGTTTAAGCTTTGTACAACTTAGCATGTAAAGTATTTTAAAGTTTTAAATGTTGGAATGCGGAAGTGAAATTACTCAAAAATTTTAAAAAATTTCTTTAATTCAATAAACAAGATCGTTTAAATGTTGACATGTATGTTATATCAAGAATAAAGAATTAAAATTTTTACCTAAATTCGATGTTTAATTCTTTAATTAATTTTGAATCAAGAATTTCCAAATTTTGGTGAACTTCAAACTTTAGTTGCAAGAACTTGATACTTCAAACCTCCAAACCTTCTATAAAATTTGCCAAAAGTTAAGACTAGATCGATAGGTGACATGGGCGAAGGTAGTGGGAAAAATTAAGAAGAAAGTGTAGAGTTTTGGATCAAATGTTAGCATTAGCCCACTACTCCTCAGCCCATATAAAAAATTAAAAAGAAAGTGTAGAGTTTTGGCCCAAATGTTAGCATTAGCCCAGCTCTAGTTTGAATCTCAACCCAAGTCTAATGTTCAATTATTTAAATTATATAAAAGACATTAATTATTAATTACTTTTTCATGAAATTCATAAAATGTGAATATTTTATTGTCAAATTAGATATTCTACTTAATGTATGTTTGACTAAAATTTACTTATAATTATTAAGTAAATTTTATTATAGAATATTTGTATTGATTAGATGTAAAAGTAAATAACTTATTTTAATAGTTAGAGACACTACATATTTTTCAAATTTTTAAGGTATTTGTTATTTTTTATTTCTACATATGTTTTCATTTATTATTTATTCATATTTATTAAAAAAATTAC